GTAAGTCAACATACTGAGATAATGGTGATAGCAGCAGAGAAATAGTGTCATATTTTTACGACAGTCAGACAAGGAGATGGGAGGAAAAGTCAAATCCACCTCCCCAAGAGGTGTAAGGTAGGGTTTATGAGGGATCTGGAGAGCAGCTGAAACGTAGGGATTTTTGATTCATTGAGAAGTGAGCAGTGCAGTCTTGGGACAGGGAGATGCCAAAGGTGCATTCTTCTGAGCCTGTTGCATGGTGGGGTCTTTAGACTGGTTGGTGTCAGCCTCTCCACTAGAGTTCAGAATCTGAAATGCCTGAAGCAATTCTTGAGCAAAAAAGACCCACGATTCTTGTTTGTGAGTTTCTACCTATAGAAACAATGGGGGAGCATGTGGTCAGCATGCTACGTGACTCTTGGTTAGTTAGCAGCTGCAGGGAAGCTGCTCCAAGTGGACCACCATGCTATGATTAATGTGTAATTATAATTCTTCCTACTTTGATGAGCTGTTAATCCTTTCATTGTATCATTATCATTAGAGAATTACAAATTAACACAATAGATGTGATAATGCTACACATCTATTTCAATGGCTGAAATGCAGTACAAACTGACATCACCAAAGCTGGTGAGGATGCAGAGCTACACAAACACTAATTGACAGGACTTTGTATCGAGGCATATTTTAGGGTGCCATATATGTATTTCCTACAAAAGAAAGTTCAGTTAGCCTAGCTCGGATCTCATGGCAATTGCTTGACTTAGCAGAGGGGACTGCAAACCTTAGTGGACAGCCTTACCAATAAGGTCCACAAAAGAGGAAGATAGGTCCCTAAGGAAATTAATATGCTACTATCCAAATAAGGGATGGAAATCAGGAAAGCTAGAGCTTATAAAGCTCTGATATTTATCCCTGATTTGGAGAGCTGCATATTCATTCATTTCTGTATCAGTTTCACGTTCCACTGATATACAACCCTAATATACTAATTGCCCTTAAATGCACTTTCCTCCTATACTGTTTTGAATTACCATCTGCTTACCCTTTAGTAAAAGCAACTTTTAAAGAGCTACTTACATGAGAAATTTGTGAGAATCTACTATAGGAGATCAGAATATGCCACCACAAGGTATGCTCTGTAACGTAAAGATTATTTTGAAGTGCTTATTTTGAAAAACAGTATACACAAGACAAGCTCTGAAAATAGAGTATGCATTGGCCTTTTGTAAGGGTAATGCGCATTCATAAGGGAAACCTCCATTCTTATGGATGTCTCCTTCTCATGCCAGATAGAGAAAGGTGACTCTAAATCACAAAAGACCCTTCTCAGTGGAGAAGATACTTACTTAAATCTGCGTGACCAAACTTTCCCTCATTTACTATACTTTTCCTGGTCATCTCCCTATGACTTGTTCCCCACATGCATTTTCCTTTGCTTTAGCTGAAGAAGGCATTTAAGCCCAAATTCTAGCTACCTCTTTGAGTTACTGTCTGAGCTTCTCCCATGTATACATGAGATACACATGTTACCACATTTCTGTTTGTTTTTCTCTTGTTAATCTGACTTTTCTTTTAGGGGCCCCAACTAAGATCCTAAAAGGGTAGAAGGCAAATGTTTTCCTCTCTTACACTATATTTTAAAGAACATTTATCAAACAAGAAAAATAATTAGTATTTTTCCCCATGTGTAAATTGACCATTGAGGAGGAGCTACTGGTTTTCTTTTTTCTTTTTTCTTTTTTGAGACAGAGTCTCACTCTGTCGCCAGACTGGAGTGCAATGGCACAATCTCGACTCACTGCAATCTCCGCCTCCTGAGTTCAAAAAATTCTTCTGCCTCAGCCTCCTGAGTAGCTGGGACTACAGATGCATGCCACCACGTCCAACTAATTTTTGTATTTTTGTAGAGATGGGGTTTCACCATGTTGGCCAGGATGGTCTCAAACTCTTGACTCCGTGATCCACCTGCCTCGGCCTCCTAAAGTGCTAGGATTACAGGCGTGAGCCACCACACCCGGCCTTGCTACTGGTTTGATACTAATCTCTTCTGAGTTTGGTTAGTAGAGATTGTCATCCCCAGGTGTCCGCTCCTCCTCAGGTGCACTTAAAAATTGCAAACCTGAGGAACTGCAATAGGAACATGATGACCGATGTAGATATACTGACTCCTCATCGAGACCAGAGTTCTAAAAAAAGGTGCAGTCACCTCATAAATAATGTTGATACTTCGGTCTTTTCTCTAATTGTTTCAAGGCCAGAGCCATTCAACATTGCAGGAGACTGAAGAACACAAGATACTTTAATGTTTAGCACTTTTCCTCCCCATAGTGGACCTAGGCAAAATTACATGAAGCAAGCATTTCATACTTTGTATCTCTCTCCTACAGTTAGCAAACAGAATTTCACATGGTTCCTACCTGCCTGTGAACCCAACATTTCTTTCTATCTCCTTTCTCATTCATTCCATGAACAAAATTTAGGTCTTAAGTCCACTGTTGAGAACCATTGTATTTTAAAGTCCTCCAACCTCCACCCTATGTTTCTGCCAAGCGAACGTGTTTATTATCAGATAAAATCATTTGTGCTAATATCTTCTACTTGATGTGTCATCCTTAGGAAATGTAATGCCTTAGCCCGTCTAACATGCATTGAACTTCTTAGAAACATTCTTAAGGAATTGAGTCTAGTAGAGACATCTGAGTGTGTGGTTGATAGAGGAGATGTTCTTTCTCATCCTGTGTGTGTATAGCTTCCATACAGATGACAGCCTGCTCTCGTTTTGCATTAGAAATCCCCGGCATGTACGAGGTCCCCAGTTCACTCTCCCGCACCTCCACCAGTTTTGGGCTGGGTTTGGTGGCTCACACCTATAACCCCAGGACTTTGGGAGGCTGACGCGGACAGATCACTTGAGGTCAGGAGTTCGAGACCAGCCTGGCCAACATGGCGAAACTCCATCTCTACTAAAAATACAAAAAAATCAGTGGGGGGTGGTGGTGTGCACCTGTAATCCTGAGTTACTCAGAGGCTAAGGTCGGAGAATCTCTTGAACCCGGGAGGCAGAAGTTGCAGTGAGCTGAGATTGCACCATTGCACTCCAGCCTGGGCAATAAGGGCTAAACTCTGTCTCAAAAAAAAAAAAAAAAAAAGAAAAGAAAAGAAAAGAAAGAAATTCCCATCTCTAGGCCAGGCATGGTGGCTCGCGCCGATAATCCTAGCACTTTGTGAGGCCAAGGCAGGCAGATTCCCTGAGCTCAGGAGTTTGAAATCAGTCTTGGCAACATGACAAAACCTCGTCTCTACTAAAAATACCAAAAATTAGCCAGGCATGGTGGCTCACGCCTATAATCCCAGCTACCGGAGAGGCTGAAGCAGGAGAATCACTTGAACCCAGCAGGCGGAGGTTGCAGTGAGGTGAAATTGCGCCACTGCACTCCAGCCTGGGTGACAGAGTGAGACTCTCTCAAAAAAATTTAAAAAATAAAAAATAAAAGAAATCCCCATCTCGAGAGTCAGGGACAGAAATGGTTGATGGGCACTTGTTATATTTGTTTATCGAAGTCAAAATTAAAGTAGAAAACCAAAGAGTAATATGAGAAAGGAAAGAATTTTTACTGAGCAACTACCATAAGCCAGGAACTATGCCACGTGTTTTATACCCAGTCAGCTCTGCCTTTACCCAAGAATCTGAGTGGAACTAAGTATGTTACCACCATGAAAGTAAGTAATTCAAAAATCTAAGCTGTTGGAACTCTATATTATTTTGAAACTTAAAAAGAAGTGATGATGGGCCAAGCATGGTGGCTCACGCCTGTAAATCCCAGCACTTTGGGAGGCTGAGGCGGGCAGATCACCTGAGGTTGGGAGTCCGAGACCAGCCTGGCCAATGTGGTGAAACCCAGTTTCCACTAAAACCCAGTTTCCACTAAAAATACAAAAATTAGCCGGGTGTGGTGACGCGCTCCTGTAATTCCAGCTACTCGGGAAGCTGAGGCAGGAGAATCACTTGAACCCCGGAGGCGGAGGTTGCAGTGAGCCTAGATCTGGCCACTGCACTCCAGCCTGGGCAACAGAATGAGACTCTGTCTCAAAGAAATAAAAAAGTGATGATGGGACCTGAGTCACGTACTAGGCAGCTGTAACCAAGGCAGGTGTACCTTGGTTTCTCTGATTAGAGACCCTTTCTTGCCTGCACTGTTGTGTGAAATGTAAAATGACTAAAGGGGGCCAGCGAACACTTGTTTGCACTCCGCTGGCTGATCTTCATTGGATGGATGCCCTCTTCTGTTTTTTATGGAAAGACTTCATTGCTATCACATTGTCTTGGGATGGAATGTTAAATACGCTCTTTTAAAATTGGAACAGAAATGAAGCACAGCTACGAATAAACAAAAACAAGTCATGGGGTTGGGGACAAATCTGTAACTAATTAATTTGTTGTAACTCTTGAACCAGCCTGGTACAGAAAATATTGAATTCCTTTTTAATTTCTTTGTCTTTTTCCTACATAAGCAAAAACTGAACCTTCTCTGGAGTCTGTATGTCACAGAGTGGCCTTCCTCTCTTTTCACTTTAATAAAATCATTAAAACTGGATTATGACCTTTTTGATTATATCAACTCAGGATTACAGGTGCACACCACCACCCCCCACTGATTTTTTTGTATTTTTAGTAGAGATGGAGTTTCGCCATGTTGGCCAGGCTGGTCTCGAACTCCTGACCTCAAGTGATCTGTTAGCCTCAGCCTCCCAAAGTCCTGGGGTTACAGGTGTGAGCCACCAAACCCAGCCCAAAACTGGTGTCTGCATCACAATTTGTCTCCAGCTTAGCCTATAATCATTTACATCCTCATGATACACACAAACGTATCACATGCAGAGACACAGCCACATAAAATATGCCTTAAACTCCTTGCACAGCCTAAGTCATAGGCAAACATAGCCTAGATCTCACACACCCATACCAATTACACAACAATTACTTTACATATATCATATGTAGAATGTCACACATATTGGATAATACAATTTATTTAGGGAAGGGAAGATCATTCACCCTGGGTAGGTTTAGAGTGAATATCAGGAAAAATCTTGGTTATCAAACATCAGATGCATTACAAGCTGAAGCTTGACAAATGTGTAGGAATAAACTAGGTAAATGAAGACAAAAGTGTATTCCAGGCAGAGAAACAACACAGGCAAGGTTATGGTATCAAGAAGTGATGCGACTCATAATTCTAAGTTTTGGAAAACACTGACACATAAGTGCAATGTCAGGGGCTATTGATGGAGGCAGTGGCCACCACTTGGGAAGCACTGAATACCAATTCCTGAGGATATGCATAGATCTTCTAGTTGTTGACAGGCTCCACCATCCTCAGGTCTCCTATGCTATCAACATACCCATCCTTGCAACAGTGGAATTCAATGTAGTTGAAGCTCTCTGTGTAGCTATTGTTGTACTTCTCCCACTGACACTCGAGTACTTTGATGGCACCCTGGGCCCATACATAGGCATTTCTACATCAGTTATTCCCACTTCAATAATGCATATATACTCCATTTTGTGCCATAAGCTATAGATGGACATATAAGAGCTCTTGTCTTTCAGAACCGCTTTTTCTCTCATGAGGGCATCACATTTGCAGTCTTCAAAATCTCGGCTTGGATCTAAGTAGTGCAGTGTCATGAATTCTTTCCAGGAAACGTCCTTGCTATGTACAAGCAGCCTGCAAAGAATGCAAAGCAGGGCCAAGGGACTGCCCCAGATCTTCAGAGAGGATGCCATTTCAGTCACCAGTGACACCTGTGTGTCCACAGAGAAGAGAAAGAAAAGCATCATGTAGACAATGTCCAGAGAGCTGACATTTATCTTAAAATTCTGTTTCCTGTCAATGCAAGCACTCAGCATAATTTTACTATTTGGTTCCCTGATTAGAAGATAATTCTCGTAAGAGAATAAAGTTTCTAAGAACTAAAAATATGCTTCAGCTTATGTGAGCCAAACACAAAGTTGGAAAAAAATAGATGACGTTAATTTTGAGAATTTCAAACATCTCCTGTCTACTCTGTCATCCACCCAACCTGCAGTGGGTAGAATCACCCAATCACCCTCCAGCTGGCTTCTTTTCACCAGACCAACTCTCAGGAAGTCATGCATCCACTAGAAAATGGCATTTTAAGCTTTTTGTCTGCAAAGTGGAAAGGGCTGTAACTTTTTTTTTTTGCACATTAAATATTAAAGTTTACTAAAAATTGCTCACATTGAAAAACAAAGACAACAATTACACCCACCCCCACCAACACACACCACATACACAATCCAGACACAATTATGTTACTAGTGTCAGCTCAAAATCGTTAAGCAAATATTGAAATGCAGATAATTTCCAGAAAATAGCAAGCAGAGGCTAGAAAAATATTTATAAAGCTCTTAGTTGTCATGGCAACAGATAAACCCTGGTATCTGAAATTATAGAAATCAGAAGTTGAACATTTGTGTGACATTGTTTTTCTATGGTTTTTCAAGGGATAAGAGGGAAACTTTTCCAATTAAGTTGTTCCAGGGCCGCCTTGAATGTAACAGATGGCTGCTACAAAGACATTAATTGAGGTTGTAGGACAAAGGCTCAGTGGATATCTCCATTCTCAAAAGAAGTGAGCAGGTCTAAAGGCAGAGACTGACTTCCAGGTTAGGCAGCCTGCGAGCTAGTGTTAATCCATCCTCCTCTATCATGCTCCCCATGAGAGCCATAAACACATGGATGCTGAAGGCAATGCTGTTTTATGATTCTTGTTTTCATGCATTGCTCACAAGCTGCAGATGCATGCCATGGGCACTGTTGCCTGCCCTGCCCCTCTCCTTGCCCTCCAGGGCTGTGCCTTTGCTAATGTACCAGTCAGGATGCTTTTTCTTTTTCTTTTTTTTTTATAACCAACTTTTTTTTATTAGAGCAGATACAGTTGTGAAAACTGTACATTACACATTTTGGTTTCAGGAATTATAAATAAAGGAACTCACAGGTAGGGAGTTCTTTTTCACAGCAAGAAACTTTAAATAAACAAAGTCATGTTTTATGAAGTACATTGGCAGACTTCATGTGCTGTCCAAAATGTTGAGTACAGTATAACAACCCATTAGAAAGAGCCTTCATGTAAAATACAGCTGTGCACATTTTAGAAAAATACCAACAATTTGAGCTTTGTTTTAAAAAAGCTTATAAATCATACGTATATTTATAAATAGGACCAACGTGCTCACTTTATAAACATAGAGGACGCTTTTTCTTCCTTTCTTCCCGTCTAGGTTTTCCTCAGCATCTTCTGAGTAATGAGGCTGCTGCTGGGCGGCTCCAGAGACTCCACTTCGGTTCCATCTGGCTGGGGAGGTCTCACAATCATGGCAGATGGCAAAGAGGAGAAAGTTACATCTTATGTGGATGACAGCAGGCAAAAAGAGCAGGGCTGTCACATTTTAGAGGAGTGTAGAAGAGTGACTACTAGGCAGGTGGTTCTTAGGCAGGAAGGCTTTAATTCTCCGAAATCACAGACCAGGTTACAATTACACTGACTCTGCAAAATGATGCTTCTCCAATATCTTGACTTCCTTTTAACACTTCCCCCAAAGCCTGGGTGGAACATATGATTACTACTAACTACCCATATTCCTTCTCAGGGACGTTCCCCTAATTATCACTATTACAAATGATCTTCTGATGATGCCATCATCAAAGGACACCAGTTTAGAAATATAACTGTAATCAATTAGGCAAAAAGACTAAAACAGTCCCCACCAGAGCTACTGTGGTCACAGCATAGGATGTATGGTCATTTGAAAAAGTTACCTCTTTAAACTAGCTCTCTGTCCTCATTTGCCATGAGGAGTGTTCCTAGCCCTACTGAACCTCTAACCTGATTCGCAGCTCTGAGCATCGGTATCCTCACTGATGTAGGGCCTAATAACAGCTCCCTACAGACCTGTGAGAGTCTAATGAGATGCATGTATGTGAGAGCACTTCTAACCATATCAAATGCCCATATCAGACACAGAACAAAGGATGGGTACTTCCTATCTGTGGAGCCCTGTCCTGGTGATAAAGACCTACACAGGATAGGAGAGTAGGATGCAAGCAGCTTTAATGCATTGTGGGGGTGCATTAAAGGGAGGGGGTGAAGGAAGGGAGGGGTAGGGAAAAGCTTGTATCAGTGGGAATGAGGCTGACTGGAATTCAGGCCTTAGTTTTCCATGATTTCGTTCCTTCTCCATTCTTTGCTATCTAAAAGCTCAATCAGACCAGCCACAGTGGCTCACACCTGTAATCCCTGCACTTTGGGAGGCTGAGGCAGGTGGATCACTTGAGGTCAGGAGCTCGAGATCAGCTTGGCCAACACAGCGAAACCCCATGTCTACTAAAAATACAAAAAAATTAGCCAGGCAGGGTGGCGTGTGCCTGTAACCTTAGCTACTCAGCAGGCTGAGGCAGGAGAGTCGCTTGAACTTGGGAGGCGAAGGTTGCAGTGAGCCAAGATAGCGCCACTGCACTCCAGCCTGGGTGACAAAGCAAGACTCCATCTCAAAAAATTAACACTAATAAATAAAAATTAAAGTTCAATCAGCCTCCTTCCAGTGCTCCTGGTCATCCCCCGAGCGTCCTCAGCAGAGCAGTTCTTACCCTACTCAGACTCAAGTCACTACTCAGAGTTCAGGTCACTGGTTATAGTGGGGTTCAATGTGTGGATCTGAATAGCAGAGTCTGCATCCTCCTCCTTTTCTCAGAGCCCAGGAAATCTGCAGCAGTGGAGAAAGGAATAGCAGGGGGAGATTCAGCTCCTGAACTGATTGGTAGCAGAGGTGGTGATGGGGAACAGCCTTATTATGTGAGCCTGTTCCTGTATCGTTTCATCTGGAACACTTGGGTTCACTCAGACAGTGGTTTGAGCAAAGGCTACAAACATCAAAGACGGACTCCAGGCACAAAAGAACTGAAAGACCCTAGGTGACCCCTGAAATGGGTTATCAAGTACTATCAGGAGACAACACGAGACCTGGCTCCTGCATTTAATTTCTGACAAACTTCTGGGAAGTCTCTGGATGACTAGAATACATTATATGGGAACTTCACTGAGGAAAACCACATTTAACATTGTGAACTTAGGGCCCTCATTGAGAGGTGAAAGAATATCTAATGAAACCAATAGCCTGATAGCTACGAATGATTAGGTAGCCAGTATCTTAAGTTTTTCTGGTCAGCTTATAACTGTGACCCTTAGCTGTCTGCTGATGCTGCAGTGCTTACCATTAAAATGTCACGTAGCCTAGCCATAGTTTCCACAATGTTCCTATATACAACGTCTGACTGTGAAGTGTGGGTCACAAGGTGCTGGCTAAGTTGTTATTCAGGAACTCAAGATTCAGTCCTGAACTCAGCTCAAACCAGACAAGACCACCAGCCCATGAGAGCGTCCAAGGGGTGACCCTTCCACATCACAGCCCAGATTTTTCACCGTAGGTTTCATAACAACTACCCCAGAATTGGCAAATGTGACCAACAGTGGTTCATTAAAACTAGTCAAAGGTGCAATTTATGAATAAAGTAAGATACTTGCATATGTTTTCTATCAGCACCTCCAAGGGCTGCTCCTAGTCAAGTCATCTTGGTTGATTTTCTCACTGGACCACCTCGTTGTTGGAATGTCAGAATGTTTACAACCAGAACTTATCTTCAAAGTGCAGCTCTCAAGCAGTCCTTGAATAATAGGGAATCGTGTGCTGACAGACTGGATGGAAGGAGGATAGTCTTAGAGCCGGTTCTGTGCATCCTTCTACTCTCTACATCTTTGGGGGACAGGGGAGAGCGAAAAGGGAACAATCCTGGGCATCTGAATTTGGATGACTTGAGCGGCGATTCTGTGGGAAAATCAGTTGTTTGTCTTGTGCCCACACATCCAGAGCTCTTTCCAACAAGTATGCACTATTTATTGAAGGCTTAAAATCAAGTAATGACTCAATGAATGTAGAGAGAGGTAGGGAGGTAGGAGAGAGAAGCCACCTGAGCCAATGTGTGAAGAAGCAAGCTAAGTAGGAGATCTATGTGAAAGTAGTTTTTAAGCAATATAGCATTGTGCTGATCTCTATTGTTGACAACATTACACGGTTGTACTACCTCAGACATGTCAACTAGTTAATCTAGTGTTTCTCAAATAAGTGATATTCTGCTTTCTCACTTTTCTTTTTTTTTTTTTTTTTTTTTTTTTGAGACAAGGTCCAGGGTCTCCCTCTCTAATCCAGGCTGGAGTGCAGTACAGTGGCTCACTGCAGTCTCTACCTCCTGGGCTCAAGCAATTCTCCCACCTCAACCTCCCAAGTAGCTGGGACCACAAGTGTGCGCCATCATACCCAGCTAATTTTTTAATTTTTTGTAAAGATGAGGTTTTGCCCAGGTTCATCTCGAACTCCTGAACTCAAGCAATCCAGCCACCTCAGACTCCCAAAGTGTTAGGATTACAGGAGTGAGTCACTTTACCTGGCCAGATATTCTACTTTCAATGTGGAAAAAAGTTTATTGTGGACTCCAAGGATACATCCATAAACTCTCCTATGAGCTAAACCCAAAGTCCTAAAGCTTTTTGGATATAAAACCAATTAGGAATTAAGCTAAACTATGCTGAGGGGAACAGCATTCTATTATATTTGCAGAAATTAGCCACTACCAATGCAGCCCAGAAAGATAGGTTAGCCAGTATTTCTGGAAACGGCTTAATGGGTCTACTTCCTAGAGCTGTCTACCAGTTTCTACAACAGGAGTTCCTTGGGTAATGACTTCTGATTTGCGTTATTAAGGAGATATTTCTCTTTGAGTATAAATTTCAAATTACTTGCTAATCATATTTGTTCTTTAAACATTGTTTTTTATTTGAACTGCTTTCTATTAATTCCTTGGCATTTTATTTTGTTAACAGCTATTCAATTCTTAAATTTAGGTGTGCTACTGTTTCACAAAACCATAATAGTGACTCAGATTTCTTTGTGCAGAAGATGAACATGTCTACGGGTGTTTTAACCCGTAATCCATGAGATTTGAAAGGCTCTATGGGTAGAATTCATAGGATCCATGCAGTGGTGCAGTGCAGAAAATTACATCTTTTCATTCACCCATATTGAAATGTAGCAATTCCTTTACTAATGAAAGTAGAAAAAAATAGAAATCATAGACTTTTTATATCCATTTATATTTGTTGCCAATATCTCAAAATATTATTTCACATTGATCACTGCCTCAAAATTATAGTAGTAATTAGACCTGAATTTAAGTCTTAGTACTTAATGCATTAATAAACACATACAATACTATATCATACACTTTAAATGTTTGATATTTGATTTCCTTTGAAATCCCATGTATTTTTTTTTTTTTTTGCATTTAATGATATTTTTCAGAGAACAAGTATTACTGTTCTCTTTTTCTCAATTGTTATTGTTCTCAACTGTGGCTTCATCAGAATGCGGAAGGGGTGCATGACACAGAAAAGGTGAACACCTTTCTCCTGGGGGATGGCAGAGTAACACAATGAAAGAAGTCCGATTCCTAAATAACTTGCACTGCTTACAGAGGAGCTCTCAAGTGAGAGGAAAATAAAATATTTTGCTTTTAAACTACTGAGCTGTTTTTGCAGCTCAGCCTTATCCTAAGTAACCCCATTGTGATTATCTTGATAGATGTGTTAAATGTTTTCTTTTACTATTAATGATGTTATAATTCAACTTTGTCTTAACTATGTTAACCAGAAAGGGAATATAAATATTTCAAAGAAAAAAAAGACAACACACTAGTTTGTTTTTGTTAGGCTTTGGGTGAATTTCTAAAGTACCAGTAAAGCTGCATTCAGGCAGAAATGCACTTATACCCTCATAATTCTCTAACTCCCAAGGCCAGATCTAATATTGTCTCCCTGTCTTTCTCTCTCTCTCTCTTTCTCTCTCATTCTCAATCTCTCTCCCTTGCTCCGTTTCTCACTCTTGCTCTCAGGAGGTCAAGCAATTTGGAGGAACTTAAGGAAAGGACAGGACCACTGACCTTCTCTGTAAGTTAGATATTGACAGAATACCAAAAATGATCATGATAGAACAATAGGGAACAGCAAAGCTCATCTGATTGGGTCAGGTGTATTAAACACATACGTATCTGATCTCACAGGTTAAGAGCTGAGTCCCATAAGATGCCTCCTACTTTAGATGCCACTGGCAAGTCTGGGCCTCCAGTACTTCTGACCAACCAGCTATAAATTGGGGGTTCCAACCACTCCTTCCTTAGATTTGATAATTTGCTACAATGGCTCATAGAACTCAGCAAATCACTTTATTTATATTTATCAGTTTATTATCATAAGCACAACTCACGAATACCTCCATGTATTCAGCAATCTGGAAACTCCTCAGATTGTATGTCCGAGAGTTTTTATGGAGCTTGATCTCCAGTCCCTGCCCCCTTTCTGAATGTCAGTGGGTTGGTTGAAAGTTTTAACCTTCTAATCCCTGGTCTTTCTGGTGCCAGCCCTATCCTGAGGTCATGTAGGGGCCCCACCTTAAGGCCCCACCTTAAGTTACCTCATTAGCATAATCTCAGGCATGATCCAAAGGGGCTCATTATGAAAAACAAGACACTCCTACTAAAGCTGAAATAGCCTGCTTCAAAGATGAATAGCCTCACCCTTTGCTTTGTTCAATATTTAACCATATACTTGCTTAAGAGATCCAGGGGGCAATCTTGAAATAAACCAAGTATTAAATTGAGATTGTAGAATCCTCCCTTCTCAGAAAAACCACTGAGTAGTTAATCCATAACCTGGTTGCATTCATGGTGATGCCAGCCAGACCTCCAGGTGGTTCATCACTGAAGATAGTCATCAGAATGAGACACGCAGTCCTGCGTCCTGCACCACTCCTGCTTATAGTTTCCATGCCTCCTTTTCCTTTAAAATCCCTTTGGCTACCTTAAAAATTTGACATAGTCTTTGAGGCACTAGTCCACCATCTCCTCAGGTTGCCATCTCTTGAATAAACCTGCTTTTCCTTCCACCAGCCCTTGTCTCTTGAGTTTTGCTTTCAAGAGGTGAGCAGCTAAACCTGAGTTTTGTAGGAGACAGTAAATTCCTCTTCAAAGTTTAGCCTGTTGGCCGGGCGCGGTGGCTCATGCCTGTAATCCCAGCACTTTGGGAGGCCGAGGCAGGTGGATCACAAGGTCAGGAGATCGAGACCACGGTGAAACCCCGTCTCTACTAAAAATACAAAAAATTAGCCAGGCGCGGTAGTGGGCGCCTGTAGTCCCAGCTATGCAGGAGGCTGAGGCAGGAGAATGGC